AAATCTGTGAATGCAACCAAAAAACTAAAATAGCCAAAAGTCTTGTGTTTTGTTTACTTTAGTTACTTATGGCCTGCGTAAGGGTTAGGGTTATCATAGTTACGGTTAGAGTTATGCCCATTGACATGAATGGGGAGTTTCCACAATGATAAGGATATATGAACTGTGGTTCTTGCAGTGTATCCTGGGTGTCTTATTTGCATTCAACACTTGCATTCTCAACATAGTCTTTCCTTAGCAGTATTAATTGTAGTTGCAGTGTACGTTAGGCATTCCTAAGGACTCCTCCACTGCACAGCGCCCTTCCATGGCCTGCAGTTTGCTCATCTTCCCTTCTGACCACATTTATTTTTGGACTTATGTTTTGGTACTTTTTTTTTTTGACCTATATGTCACATCGGGAAGTTTAAATGACCGAGCTCTTAAAGGCTAATGTAAGGTATGGAAGTCATAGCCACATCGCTCGCTTCTCTTTTAATATGTGTGAACCTGTAGGTCTGGCGTGTGGACTTCGTTGGTTATGGGTCTAAGTTTGAGGCCTCTGCTTCTGCCCCCATGTCAGAATTCAGAAGATCCCCCGGCTTCTGGTGGCCTCTGCAGACGGATACCTCTACATGTACAACCTGGACCCACAGGAGGGGGGCGAGTGCTCACTAATGAAGCAGCACAAGTGAGACGCCTGTGCACCACACAACCAGCCCCCCCCCATTCTGATCATGCTTACCTGTTTGGCCCCCACTGTCATATTTAAGAAACTCGTGCTAAAAATGTTCAAATGACTTGGCGATATCTAATACTGCTAGATGATATTTTATTGCATTAATCTTTTAAATGCACTGCTTGACATTTGTTGTGGTTAGTTTTGTGAGTATTGAGGAGAAGATTTGGTCTTTAGGGAAGCTTGTGTGTTCACACTGTGGAAGGACTTGGATTGAAAATGTTGACCCCTCCCATCCCAGATTGATATGACATGTTGCTTCGTTGCAATCTAACATTGTAATACATTTACATCTCTCTCCATTTTGCATTTATAAAATGATTATGCTCTATCATTGGAGAAAAATAACACAATAAGATGAAGAACTTGGCCTTATTCTTCCCCACCCCCATATCTGCTGGTGTGCAGTATTTAGCTGTTCCCCTTTTAATGAGCTCTGCCCCCCCCCACACTTCCTTTTTCTAAGTTTCGCCCATCCTTCCTCCTTAGTCATTTCAGCTGTTGTCAAGCATCAGTCTTTGATTCCTGCTGTAGGTTTTGTATGGTTGTCCGGTCTGACCTTAGGCTCTGCTTGTTCTAAAACTTCCACCTGCTTTTAGTTTTGGCTTTTAGTGGCATCATCCAAGACTTGGGTCTTTTGCAGATACTTTTTAATTTATTGAAGTTTTCCAGTACGGTCAGGGACCGCTATAATGCAAGTCTTATGGCACAGATGATAAAATACAGGAGCACCGAACATGGGAAGTAGAGAATCGGCAGCTATATATGTTTAAAATGGCCTGGCTGGATTTTTAATTCACAACATTTTCTGTATATGATATAGCAGTTATGTGGCTTTATTGGACAAATCTCTTTTGGATACATCTACATTGGGTCTATTGTTTTTCCTTCACAATACATTCTGAAGCATGCTGTTCTGAAGAGGACACAAACTATAAATAACACCAAGCAAAGTATTTTTATGTAAGACCTCCCTTTGTATACAGCTATCCTTTGCTGTTTGTCCTGGTACAGCTCAACATTGGGGGTGGGGGGGCGGCTGGTGCACATGGAACAGTGATAAAGCCAGAGATCAAACGTAATGAGTCTGATTCGTGGACCTTGCATTTTAATGCAAGTAAATACATGCTGGCTTCTTTCCCCATTTTCCTCCCCCATCCTGCTTTGTCAGATTGGATGGCAGCACGGAGCCGCCCAAAGAAATACTGGAACCAACCAATCACGAGCGTCCACTTGTGGCACAGACCTATAGTGTGCCATTAGCCAAAGGTAAGCCCAGACTTCTTACTGAAGCCGTTTTTGAAGTAATATGCCCCGGATGAAGACTAGGAAGTATTTTCGTGCTGGGAAGATGTCCTTTGGCAGGCCTAGATCTATGTCAGTGCATGTTGATGGGTGGTGTGTCTTTATTCGTGTCTCTAAGGTTATTCGGAGGACCAGGGGGCTGTCGGAGGCCCCGGTGTGGAAGATGACATGAGTTCCCTGCGACTGGAAGAAGAGAGCGAACAACCCCCCATGATCCTTTTGGAGTGACTGAGCCCTGTGACGACCTGCTGGCTGACGGGTGATGATGTGAGGGCGGAGCTCCAGCAGAGCTGCTATGAACTTGTGATGAATTGGAAGAGAGATTAAAGCACATGACGTTCTCCCTGTCCTTATCCCATCTATACTGTTTTTAAAAACCACAACCATTTGAAATCTATGCCAGCTGTGTCATTCTCCAGCTAAAAAAAAAAAAAATGGTAGTGGCTTTTAAGTCCCTCAGCTTTGCATGCTCCTGTGCCAAGTTTAGCACTGATAGAAATCTCTTCAGTCACGTAGGTATCGATGGTTCCGACACGATGAACCTTACGGTGATAGCTGGGATTTTCTGTTCATTTTCAATGGAGAAAAGTAATGGCCAACAAGTGCCTGTGATGGAATGGTAGAATTCCTGTGTGTTACTTCACACAGACTGTTGGGGATTTCTGCAGATGTAGCCCACTGATGCGGGGAACATTATCTATGTGTGGGTCAGGATGGGCCACTGAGCTCTTACCTCCTGCTGCGTACCCCAAAGGAGATGATTGCGGCTAAACTATCTGTTTGCTGCTCTTTACTGTACCAAAACAGGCCATTGACCATTTTACTCGGTCTTGATGGACAGCTACCTTGGAGAGATGAACGCCTGCTGCTTATTAGCATTTCCTTCTGATTCTTCTGTATGCCATCTTATTGTGTTTTTCACCATTTTGGCATCCCTAAGGGTAAAACACTTTATGGATTTTCCATCCCTCTGTGATCGATGCAGTTTTCTAAAGCTTCAAATTCAAGATGCAAACCAAAAAACCTATGGAGTTTTCTTTTAAGATTAATGTTATTCTAATGAGAGCTTTTTTATAAGTTCTGTTTTTTCAGATTTCAGTTTTTTTTAACCTAAATTGATTCTTTATGATTCTCAAGGTTTTTTTCCCCCCCCTGCCACAGTGTCCATGAGCATTTAGGTTAATATGGTACTTTAATGATTACATTGTGAATGTCCTGTACATTGATATAATTTAGTCAGTACTATACAATGAAAGTCATATTATTAATGTCGATTTATACCTTTAATCTTTCTTCCTCTAAAAAAATGAGTTGGACAATCTCTCTTAAACAGGAGACATCTACGCATCACTTTATGCAGAAACAGATTTGTCCCTAATAGATCTGAATAGCAGTAGGTTGTGAGGGAAATGTCAGGTCACCTTACGTATGTGTGGAGTGTGCAGACTACCCACCTATGGGTGACATTAAACTGAAAGTGGTTGTGAAAGTTGGAATTGCAGAGAGGTACTAGTGAATTTTTAACCTGGAGCTTGGTGTCCATGTCTAAGCACAGCTCAGTATTACTTTGCCAGAAAGTTGCCATTTCACCAACCATGGTATGGTTAAAAAAAACAGTCCGCTCTTATCAGTATGCATTCATGGAATATTTATGCATTTTGTAATACTATTAAGTAAACTTTTTTCCATTCTGACTTGGTGAAGTTGAATTATGAATTATTTCACGTTCTTATGACAAGGTCTTGACATCCCCATTGAAGTAGGACAGCAGGTTGGTGGAACCTGTGTGCCGCTGATCAAACATGGCTTTCTTGGCACTTGGTTCCCCAAGGGGTACCTTGGCGTTTGGTTGGTTGCGATGGCAGTGTAACTGCAGTATGTTTCTAAGGCACATGTTCTTTGGGGCTTTCCTCAACATAATGGACTATTTCAAAGCCTCAGTTGGTTATTTGGAAATTATATGGAAATTACAAGGATTTTTAAAAGCTATTTAATTTCAGAGAGCTTTGGGTACTTTGAGTGTACAGCGTGTTGCAAGATGTGCTGATGCCTTATGTACATTTCAACAAATTGTCTTTCAGGCATAACAAATGAATGTAATGACTTCAGATTTTGAAGAGCCATAATTTCTCCTTTCTTCCCACAGCCCATGGACTGTGCCCAGTGCTAATATAATTTTTATGATTTTTTAAGTAGAAAATCTGTTCCATACAAAGATCAACGTACGCAAAGAATTAAGTAAAATAAACATCCATGTCTGCAAAAGGTTTGGGGTTTTATTCTGTTTTTGAAGCTGAATGCCCTGCTTTCCCTATTTGTTCCATCACAGCATAAAGTAACTGACTACCCATCATGCCCAGGGGCAGTGTTTACCATCAATCAAACCATGCAGTTGCATAGAGGCCCTCTGTTGGCCACAAACAGACACTACACCCCAGAGGGCCACAGTGGGCCCTAAAACGACTTATTAATTAGGGCCCCAGAAACAACAAATCTGCCACAGATCATACCCACTCATTGAAACACCCTTTGGAACACAAGGCATGAGATCCCAAAAGGATCACCTGCCCCTTTGTCTGAAACCCTCTCTTTAAAAATACCGAGCGCCAGTTTAATGTAAGTCAAAGGCTTTGTGTGTCTGGATATGCAGGGGATGGTGTGTGGCTCAGTGGTTTATGAGGCTGTGCTTATGATCAGAAGGTTACTTGTTCAAGTCCCAGGGTTGGTAGAGTGGCCTCATGAGTAAGGTACTTAATCTCCAGTTCGAGGGACTCCAACCCTGCTTCCATTAAAAATGTATGTCGCTTTGGAATAAGTATTTACTAAATAAATTAGATCTATTTGTGCATAATTTTTCCAATATGTAACCATTGCTGCTCTCTGTTAGAATTTTTATTGAGCAGCACACTAGATGCTGAAGCGTACTTTGGCATAACTGCTGTTTCTGTCGTACTAGCAGAGAGACTGGCATCTGGGCTTTCAGACGGGTGGCACACAGGAGACCACAGCTGAAGCCGTTTATTTTGCAAAAGCATAAAATGCACGGAAATGCATGTTTCACAACATTTCCTCATATCATTACATCTCCTTCAAATCCTTCTTGTAATGTTTAATGCACAGTTGCGAAGAAACTGTCTATTGGTTTCAGAACTGAATGATTATTGTAAAATGCACCTTTGATGCTTATGTCTGGGCACACATTTGGGGGTTCCTTTCACTTTGTATTGGTGCATCAGTTATTCCAGAGTTAAGCTATCTTCAAATTTTTCAAAGCAGATTCCAGGGTCTGTAATAATAAAAATATCAGCGTTAGACATATATATCTAAAATATGTAATATACAATATACATATATATCATTTATAAAATTATAGCCTGTTACTATCCAGAGCATGGTTTATTAAGCTCCTTTTCCCTTGAAAAGTACAGTAAAATGTAAAATGTGAAACAGTATCAATGGAATAATTCCACCTTACCTTGATCTCCCAAATAGCCATCCCCCCGTCCATTCCAGTGGTACAGAATTTAGTGCACTTGCTTTTCCCACCCTCCAGGATAGAAACTTGGCTGTAAATAACCAACCATTCTGATTAGAGGTGGTATATTACTCATATCACTACATTCAAGAGCCATACGTGTGAAGCATTCTTTTCTGTCTTCTTATGCATAGTGACCTCTGATTAATTCATATTCTATCATGAAAGTTAAATGATTATTATGGTTGGTCATGTCTGTTCCCATCAGATTACTTCAATTGTGTTGTCTTTGAACTGAAAATGACTTAGTATCTGTAACTTACTCTTATAAACATATTGCTAAGTTATTTTCTGCTAAATCAAACGTTTTAATAATTAAATCACAATCATTTAAATATTAATGTCAAAACTATGTCCAGTATACAGGGATTGGATTTCAGTCATATTTCCCAATGGAAACTCCCTCGGGATGGAATTTCTAGAATAATAAATTCTGCACCCATCTACTGCTTCCTGAAAAAGCCCCCCCCCCCCATTATGTCTATGCAAGAACTTTTTCATGTAACGTATAAACCGGCACATCTAGCTAGAGCAAATGCATTATAGCCATTTAATTACAATTTTTACATATTGGGTCTTTGATATGCTTATGCTCAGCTGATATGAAATATTATGGATGGATGTGAATGAATTACAGATGTTTAACATGTGCCTAAATAAGAACCTCTTTACTGATGCTGCAAGTATTTTATGTTTCTCATTTGAGTGGAAATTCCAGCATCCTGTTGGGTTCTCAGGTTACAGCTGTGATGGACTGCAGAAGCCTTTCGGAGCAGTAACACGCCTGAGCGCTGGCCTTGCCTGATGCTGTTCTTATGCAGAGTGTCCAGCGTGGCCTCCTCTCGCTCCGACGTGGCCTTCTTGTCCATGTTCTGGAAGCGTTCCCTGGCGCTCACCCCTCGCTGGGCGCTCTGCTTGGGCACGTCCAGCTTCCCGCCGAAAGCGATCGAGCCTTTGCCCGCGTCGTAGACAAAGAGCGCCGGGTAGCAGTCGTGGCCCTGAAAGACGTCAGAAAGTGCAATCGGCGAGTGTTTCAGCCCAGGCGGGAGAGCGGAGAGACGCAGAGGCAGGGAGAGCCGTACTCACCGCTGCCACCAGGCTGTTCTCGGTGATGAATGTCACACACAGGAGAGGCAGGGAATCTGAGACGAAGCTGCTGATACTAGCCAGGCAGAAACAGAAAGATGTTCGTCATAAAGGCGGCCAGCCACCAAACACCTGAGGTTTTCCAGGGTCACGCTTTGTCTTCATCATACAGAGCTGGACTTCCCCCGTCTTTGTCCTAATAAGCTGGTCTTCTGCATTTTTTCCAGCACTTTTCAGACTATTAACAATATCTTTACTGGGGGAGCAGCTTGTAATAGTTCAATCAAAGAGGTAATTAGCTCAATTCATCACTTAATTCCACAGGTGCAGTAGAAGCCTGTATAGACAACCAGGCTGCTAATATCAAAACTGAGGACCCCTGTATTTTGACTGAACTTCTAAACCAGCAGATGCCAGGCTGCATGAACCTTTTAAAGCATGAGAAGATGTACTGGGCCTACATAGAAGTATACTGACAAAAATGGGGATATGTTTCAAGGTAAATCAGCCAGGCAGTTTCCTTCAATCCTTACTAAACTAAAAACATAAGTGAAACATAAAGCAAAAATTCAAAATTTTGAATTTTGATATATAGCAGGAGGCTAAATTCACATGTTCAGTTTGACTGGATACTTACGTAGCGGTCTTCTCGCCGTCGGCCACAGCTATCATGCTATCGTGAGCTGTCCAGGCCACGCGATTCCCGCTGCCAGAGAAGGAAACGCTGTGGACCCAGCCAGTGGTGCTGCTCGACTCGAACAGCATCTCTCCAAAGGGCATCTTGGAACCCCAGGACGTAGGGCCAGGCTTCTCCTCAACCTCTTTGATGTAGGCAGAGAAAATTCTAGAAGGAAGTTAATGGGTTTTTTCAGTGCATGACAAGAACATGCAGCAGACTCTCTCAGGACAAAATACAACCATGCAGCTAGGGTGATATACATTTACCTGCATTTGAAGTCACAAGATCCAGCTGCCAGCAATACGTTGTTGGGATGCCAATCCAAACTAAGGACTGTGGAGCGAATCGGTTTTTTGATGTGCTTGCAAACCCACCTAAATGCCACAAAAGGAAACCACTATTTCATGCAGTGAACACACATTGACTTGAGACTTGTCTGTAATAATTCTTACCTAGAATCAAATCGGGTTTAATGAATCACTGTACCAGTTTTTAAATCATTGCTTAAGAGTGTCGCTTACATTAACATTATAGCTAGTTTTTTTGTTTTTCTGTGACACTAAATAGTAGCTAATTTCGCATAATGACAAGAGTGCTACCAGTTAGTTCATTCATAAATTAAAAAAATACATTAAAAGTGTTTTAAAACCTTACAATAACACAGGTCTACAATTTTTTTTCAGGTGCGAAGGTTTTTTTAATGGATTTATGGTATTTTGAGGGTGCTGAATTCAAAAATCACATTACTTTTGCTGAATTGGTTCTAGTTTTTGAGATAATGAACATCCATGAAAATAATGCATTCCCCCAATGCGACTTGTGTGTGATAACAAATGCAATAGCTTTTGGTCTGTCTTTTGACTCTTTGATAGTGTCTTAGGTAATGAAATATATGATGAAGAGCCTGAAAATAAAATTAGAGTTAAGTTCACATATGCGTGTTTATGTGTTAATTTATTGCTGTTCTTACTGTGGTGGTGAATATTTACCCAGATCAAATCTGCCAAGTCCTTCCAAAGGAAGGGCATCATGTGAACACCTGTCTGGAATTTAGCCAGAAATGGTTGAAATGCTCATGATAGGGTCATGAAAAAATTTAGTTAGACAAATGTAGGTAGAGGGAATCTTGAGGATGATGTTGCAGCTGTGAAGTCCTCTCTTCTGGCTGGTGCAGAGTGGAAAAGAAAATGTAGTGCTTTGAGCACTTTCTCCACCATCCACACTTCAAAACCAGTCTTGAATGACTTGTGAAGGGTATGTAGGCCACAACTTCCTACAATTACTAACTGTGTCGCAGCAAACTGCTCACCACAGTGTGAATGTCATCATTGGATGTATATGAGTGATGTCGGCTAACTGTTTGCAAAGCCCATAGCACTTCTGCTTTCAGTGTGTCGGTTGAGGAGAATGTACTGAAGGCATTGCTTGTCGTGGGATCTGGAGACACTGCCAAAGTGGGTGTAGGCCTATCTGTAGAGGTTGTACTTGCAGGACTGGCAAACAACTGAATGGGGAGAGTTGTTGTCCGACTTTTGACAGAACGCTTGTGCTTCTCTCCCCTGATATGTGAGTCGATGGCTTTAGAGCCTATTGTTGCCAGTTTGATGATTTTTTTACAAAGGTCGCATCGCGCTTCGTAGACATTAGTTGTCTTTTTCAACCAGCCACAGTACTTTATTTTTGAAGCATTGACATTAATAACAATTAATAACTAATTAATATTGTATTATTTAATCAAATCATACATAACTTTTTCCTGTCACTTAGATATTTTAAATTTCTTTTTTTGTATGATGTTAGACTGTTTACGTACTAGTTGTAACTAAAATAAAATATTCTTGCAATTCTTAATGCTTTGCAAACATGTTGCGTTAATTAATGAATTAACTATTAAATATCTCAGAACCTAGAGCCAATCTGGCAAAACCGAAGTCATATTCTTAATCAGCACCATAAACTTAATATAAAACTGTTCAGACATTGTTGGCACCAAAATCACTGTATACCAGTATAATTTGCATGTCCATCAGAGGAAGAACTGAAAAGACAGGAAACTGAATAAAACAGAATCTGCCCAGTAATCAAAAACAAAATGGCTGATGATGGCTGCAGAATTACGAAATTGCTCACCAGTCGTTTTCTTGCTCGAAGTAGCAAATCGAGATGAGGCGGGATCCGCTTCCCACGGCAAACTTGTTCTCTTTGGGGGACCATTTCACGCAGCGAGCCGCGCGGTTTATCCTCAGAATGACCAGCGTAGGTTTCCACTGGGCTCCTTTCAGGGTCCAGACGTAAGCATTGCGGTCAGTGCCACAAGTGACGATGCGGTTACTGTCCGGGGCCCAGTCGATACCTGCCGTGGACATGAGGAAAGTCCTTTCTACAGCTTCTTCTGAAAGACCATGACAGTATCCTGGGGAGGCTACGATTACTCCTTACCCGTCACCTGGCCATTATGTTCCTTCAGCTCCTGAACCTTTGTCCACTTGGCTCCGTCCTTCTTGTAAATGTGGACATCATGATTGTTCGGGCACAAAGCGATCTCTTAAAGGAACAAAACATCCCTGAATGTAAAAACCACTGTATGGACTGTATGACTAAATTATATTATAAACATTAACTAATAATGGCAAGACATTTCTCATGAGAAAATCCAAAGTGGCTGATAATATTTGATTTTTTTATATCTCAGATTGTACAAACAGTATTGAAAGTCACAGAGTATAACCTAGAAACCCAGTTTTGAACTTAAGACTAACAGCAGTCCAAGTACTTAAATAGAAACAAGAAAGGACGACCTTGATCCTCACACTGCAGCTGAAAAAGTGACTCTCTCTTTTAAACACAAAGCATTTCTAGCAGACAAGCAAACAAGCTCTACACAGGGATGTCTGAAACAAATTTATTTTAACTAGGGTTGGGAAAGTTATTGTGTTAATGCATTGCTTCTGTTTTTAGAGCTATTTGCCAAATAGGTTTTAGATTTTAGATCAATCACATTGGATTCAATAGTGTTTCGATCTGCCTGTTCAGTACATGTGATTATATGTACATTTGGTATATATAATTAATTGCCAAGGACTTTGCTCTTATAAAACAATACCCTTTTTTCTTATTGCCATCTGTTCATTGAGTCAGGCAAGTGATTTGTGAACTAACTAAGACTCAAACTAAACACAAGGAAATACAGATCACATATACAGATTTGGAAAAGGGTTTTCAACAGGGACCATCTAACAGCACACACATTCAATAGGCAACAAGGGAAAATAGCATAGACAGGGGTTTATATACATAAGTAAATTGTTTCAAGCTGCACATTCAGTACTTTTAGCTATGCAGCGGCCCAGGGGGCAGGGAGAACTATGGGGACTGTGACTGGGGATAAACCTAAGGGAACATAAGAAGCAAAACGGGATGACCAGTGGCACCTGCTGGCCAGATAGGGAACTACAACATTACACTTGACTTTGGGAGAATACCAAGACATGGACTATACTAGAATAGACCAGGATCACTAGAAAAGACCAGCAACACATGTAGGTCAACAGGGAAGAGTAGGAAACTGAGAAACGAAAGAGAGACTGAGACAGGACAGGGACTGATCCTAACATAAACCATTAAACAAATATAAAAACATATGGCATTCTCACAAATTTGATTTTTTGAAAAAAATGTGGAAATACAGTGTTTGTTTTTTGTGTAGAGTAATTGGCATTATCTTTAACGTTTTAAGTATATAAAAAGTTATGTAATTTGATTTTAAATCATTTTCCACAAATAGGTAGCCAAAAATCAGTAGCACAAAGCTAGGCCTACATAAAATGTTTTTCAGTTGTTCAACTTTATTGCATGTGACCCACAATAGATAATCAACTTAAATAATAAGATGTGTAATATTTTCGCCATTTTCTATTAGTTTTGTCATTTTTTTCTCATCTCAGTTACTCTTGCTCTGGATTTGAGGAAAAATTAGAGAAAATTAATGTGTTACAGTAATGAATTTGTGACAATGACCCATGTACTACGCTTTGTGTTAATTCTACATTAATAAGGGGATTTGATGTATAAAGATTTATTATTATAATTTTAATATTGGGTGAGATTAATCACAGAACACTGTGCTAGTTAATGTTTTTAATCGATTCATAGCTCTAATTTTAGCATTAGCTTTAGCATTTAGTGTGGGCGGAGCAGTGACTCTGAGGCTAGGGAACTGTGCCAGCAATCGGAAGGTTGCCAGTTTGAATCCCGTGAATGCCAGGAGTGATCCTACTCCATTGGGCCCTTGAGCGAGGCACTTAACCTGCAATTGCTCTGTCCTGGGTATGCTGTTAACCTACATCCAGCCCTGCAAGTATGTCGTCCAACTTACAGGGAAAATTTGGGGGTTGGTGGCAGGATTGGCATTCCAGCCACTGGAAAAATCTCACACTGCTCCATTTGGACTAGTGTGGTGCTGAGACATCCCTGAGCTGGTTGGTCTTGTGGTGGGTGTGGCAATGCACTGTAATCAGCACATGCCCCTAACCTCCTCCTAAATCTGCATTATTTCCCTTAAATCATATTGTAGCATATCATAGCAGCCTTTATATAAGCGTAACATTTGCTGTGGATTCTCTCCTTATGTTGGGAATGAACAGCACCACTATGGCTGCTGAGCTGTTCGCATCTGCTGCCTTCCCCCAGTCCCCACCCACCCATGCTGACACATCCAATCAGCCTGAAAACACCATTCATGGTAAAACAGGAAGTCTGAGTACAATTTGTCACTGCTGTTCCTGTCGTTGTAGGTATGAACAAGGAAAACAGCAGAATACAATTAAAAGTTCCTCTTTGTGGGCCTTGTTCCTCTTAGTTGCAGTGCACATTAAAGAGGAACTAAGTAATGCCGTTTTTAGAATATTGAGGGTCCTTTAGAATCACTCCCACTGAGCTGTGTGTGCAACAATTTGAAACAGGAAACTTTTCAAATTAGACCCCTTAAATTATAGGGCCATGAACTCAACTTCTTCTTGCATCTGCTGAATCTTGTAGCTCTTAGCTGACAGTCTACCTTGTGCCTTGCCTGTCTGGTTGATTCTACTTATATTGGAAGTTTCCATGAATGAACAATACAGTAGTTATAAGAAAATTTGCTCTAGAAAAAAAACAATAATAACTGCTTATTATGAGGATGAAATGCACAAAGATGCCACATTTTGACCAGCTTAAGCATGCAAACACATTAAATAATAACGTACAGGATGGTGTTATATAACAGACACTTAAGCAGTACCGCATACAGGCTGATATTATCTATTTGCACTTGCAAATCCATGATTAACCCCTCAGCCAATATATATAAGCCAGTGAGCATATGCATGCAGACACTTAGACTCCAGAGTCAAATAGTAATGGGGAGGTGTGTGTGTGTGTGTGTGTGTGTGTGCACACTCACGGCTTCTGTCCTTGTTCCAGGCATGGCAAGTGATGGGCTCCAGCAGAAAACTATGGTACGCCATGCCGCCCGGAACTTCTGATGTCTTGGAAGAGAAATCAAGCCAGGCAAATTTCATTAGGCAACATTTTTCCTTACTTCCTGCCTGAGAGATGTATTAGACTGAACATCATAATGTAATATCTATATATAGAATGTAGTATTTTACATTTTATTCACTTAGTAGAGCTATGTGCCTGGCCATTCTGGTACATAATGCTACACTTTAAAATGGAGAAATGATGCTAAGTGCAAAATATTGTCTGAGAGTTAAAGAGATTTCAAATATTTTTGATTTATATTTCTTCTCTTTCACTTGTCAATGGCAGGCTAATATTCTGACTTGAGTATGATATTGTTGTAAATTAATATGCAATTTGCACTCACTGCTTTGTTAAACGTCAAACTGGCATCACCACTTTACAGAACGTTGCTGAAATAAGTGCATCTGTGATGCATAATGTAGGAGAAAATAATCTCAGCCAAGATCTTTGAGGTGCAAACTTGTTTAGCCATTTGCCACGCTTAGGGTTAAGCATATAAATACTTTCAGCCTTTAAGCATTTGTTAAAAAAAGCATTTGACTTACCCAGTAAAATAGAGAAGATAGGTGGGGTTTGAAACAGGAGCCTCAGTTCATGGACTCTGAGCAGTCAACACGAACTCTGACAAAGCTCTGAACCAACTAAAGAAAACTTATTTCTCTCTGATCCACTCTACTTCCCCTTTCCTGCCTGGGACTTGTAACTACTTCCTTGTGCAGGCAGCTCACAGCTGATTAATAGGGCCAACAAAGTTTAACTCCTCACTTATTCCTATTTGAGGGTGCAGAGGAAATGTAAGGCCTCCATCCATATGGTTTAGATAGCTTTTCATCTAAATCCTGATCGACTGAGATGCTCGGAAACGTTTTTGGAACAATTTCAAAGAAATTTCGCAATCCAGAGACTTTTTTTTTCCCCTCAAGAATTCGGAAATTTCACTGTTTATTTTTGGGTTGGGTTTTGCATCTCCCTTGTGCAGTCATACTTATGAGCTTAGTAGTTAAAATGAGCTTAAGATCGGTGTGTGCAGTGGGTAGTGGTGTTTGATTGCATTCCCAAGAACAGACCTGCAACAGAAAAACATACCAGTTATTTTTGATGGTTGTCCACAGGGGGAAAAAAAACAAATGCCACATCTAGATATTTTTCAAATTTCCGTATTAATTATCATTGGAGCTGAAACCACAATTAGCATCATGAATCATTTCTTTTGAATCTTTTTCTGTTCCAAAAGAAGCGTTTATGTAATTTGATAAACTGAGTGCTGCAGACTCACTGAGACACCTCACACTGAAACAAATCTGATTTTTATGTATTCATATTTTTTTGGCACAAATATCAGATAGTCCTCTATTGAATGATTAAATAATCATATAAAAATTACGATATTAATAGCAACAAATGTCCTGGTGTGGAAAAAGGAATTGCTTTGGTCAATCAATAACACTTACTAAGATATTTAACTGGACTTTAAAGGACTTCAAAAAATAAAACCTGACACAAAGTGTGAGTTTCCTGTGATAGGTCCAACATTATAGTGGGATTTACACCTAGTTTTTAACAGGTCCAGCCCAAACGTTCAGTCTTCTGATGTGAATTTGTTTGTACTTTCAAAATCATTATCCTCATTTCCAAGTTGCACTTCAATATCTAACTCTACGTCTCTGGAGTGGCCTGATAGTGTCCGGCAAAATTCTCTGGTGTACAGCATAATTTATGATTCTCTCAATACTAAAAGTAATTTGTACAAGAATCTTACTGTCAAATGTTTTTACTGAACATCATGACATCTTCATCATCGAAGTTTGTCCTCATTATAGAAGGTCATGAAGGATCACGGAAGAGGTTTCCAGAAAATTAGAGCTGCTCATTGGTACACATTGGAGCAGTGGATTCAGCCTTAAAATCCTTCCACAGCACCTCTTTCTAGTGGTGGAGTTACAAATGCTGACCCCTGGTGAGCAGACAGAGGCCTGCAGGGCACCATTCCTAGGAGACCTTTCAGCAACACTGCCACCCTTAGAATAACTCACTACTCTAACCATCCTTCTCTATTTGGGTTATATGGTTTTAACTGGTGGTTGCTAGTGTTGGTGCACCATCTGTGAAATGCATACAAGTTCATATAAAAAGGACAGGCATTCAAATTGTAAAACAAAACAGAATAAGAAGGAAACCAAGGTGGGGTTGTAGTGTACTCTTTTATTTCTAGCAGACCATTTACATATTAATTTCACCCTTACATTACTGTTCTACAATTCCTCCTGAGGGGATGAGGGCCCTACACCCATTACCACACTGCTGGGGTACCAGCTTTGGTATAGAATCAAGAAGATCACAGCTAAAGTTAAAAAAAAAAACAAACCAAAGGAAACAAGGAAAAAAAACACTCCAATGTCATTTAACGGTTGTTTTCCTTTTTATAAATAAACAGCAATGTCAGTTCATCTCTCAGTGCTTCTTTTCAGTTGCCACCTGCAAAAATTGTCAGAAAACCTTCTGTTGGTCTTTCATTTGTGCTAATCGTCTGATGATTTTTCTCTTTTTTTGAACTTTACATGATTCGCAGCCCTTGGATGGAGGACTCTAGAGTCTAGGAAGAAATAAGCACAGAGCCAAAGTTAAAAACAACAAAATTCCACACCACATTTTGCAAATTTCAAAGAAAGTGAAACATGTTTTTGGACTACGAAGAGGATATTTACTTTGATATCCCATATGGTCATTGCCCCGTCGATACCTGTAGTGCAGAATTTACGACAATCTCTTTTGTCTCCTTCAAATATAGACACTTGGCTGCAAAGATGAGGAAAGAAAAACAATTATTTTGAATTTATTGTTGATAGGAAAATGGTATTAGAGACCAAAAAGTCTTTTAGATGCATGTTTAAGAGATTTTTTTAAAAGCACAAATATTTAACCGTTCTACTTTTTAAAAATGCATTTAGGTCACGAATGGATATGCATTATCTTTGGACAGTAAAAATTCAACCATATGCAGCATAAATATTAAGCCTTTATTTTACATTACACTGGAAGTTAAGAAAGGGCCCAAAATATGGAACCATAAGCATCTGAGCCTAAAATACACAGTTCTACCTAGCAGTGCACATTCAAAACAGGACGGGGGAGCAGGAGAGGCTGTGGGACCCTTACGTGATGCTGTTCTGGTGCAGGGTCTCCAAGATAGTGTTCCGGTCCTCGGTGGTGGCTCTCTTGTCCATGTTGCGGAAGCGCTCCATTGCGGAGATATTGCGCTGAATGCTCTGCTTTGGAATGTCTAACTTTGAGATGAAGGTCAGGCTGCCGTGGTCATCGCTGCTGAACATCATCGGACAGCAGTCGTGTCCCTGGTGGAAGAAACGGTACGTTTGCCTTTGGCACAGAACCCCTCAATCATTACCAGAATAGTCGAGGCAGTAGCTACTTCATAATGACGAAAAACTTCTTTAATGTTATAAAAATCTAACTTTGGAAACACAAATCTTATCAGAAAGCAACAACACACTCAATAAGACAGGAGACCATATGTGGTTTTCGCACATTCTATTCTGTGCCAAAACCGATTTATATTCAAACTGATCCTACGGCATGTAACAAGTTTAACAAGGAGATAAAAACCTGAGTCATTCCTTCAACTCTAAGTAAAGAAAAGACAACTAAACAGGCAATTCACATCATGCAACATTTACAAGACAAATTAAGACAAGGCTTTTTGGCAAATCATAAGCAACAGATAAGATATTATAGCAAATGCAGTTATAGTTTTATTATAGCAAATGCAGTTATAGTTTTATTATAGCAAATGCAGTTACCAGCGAATAGTGCTAGTCAATTAGTCTCTTCCAGTCAGGTGAGTAACAAAGATTTAAAGGGGTGGAGGCATCAGCCTGGGTTGACACATCATCACCCCAAGGCTTTAAGATAATGTAACAATTGTTACAGAATGAATCTGAATGAACATGGCATAGTATGTAACTATGAGTGCTATATATAACACTTACAGGTTTGCAAGCAAAGACATTATGTCAGCAGAATGATTCAGGGAAAATAACAGCGTCAGGAAAACATTTACTTACAGCTGCCACAATGCTGCTCTCTGAGACAAACACGACACTCAGGAACGGGAGGAATTCCGTCTTTATCTGGGAAGGCCTACGGTGACAGAGGCCATCGTTTCAGGCTCATAACAGAACAGCGCACACTGACAACACTCTGAAAGGAAGCTTTGAGCGTAAAACAGACGTCTTTCACCAATTTAAGAATTAGCTAGTGGGTCAAAAACAGCCATTATGTGTTTTTCTGACTATCCTGCAACCCGCGGATTAACTCCAATGTGACTGTTTGGCAGCATATTTTGTTAAATGCAGAAAAATATCCGTAACATGCGACAAACGCAGGGCTAAATGCTTTTATAATACTTACGCGTTTCCTTTAGTAGCGTCAACAAAGTTGACTGTGCTGTCGTGGCTGACCCAAGCTAGCCTGTTCCCGCTGGCAGAGAAGCAGACGCTGTGGACCCATCCTCCGCTCCCTGCACCCCCAAACTCAGCCATGACCTGTCCAAACGGCATCTTAGAGCCCCATGGGGTGGCACCTGGCTTCTCATCCACTTCTTTGATGTAAGCAGAAAACACCCTGTTGAAAGAAGGCACATAAAATAAGACTGATTCAGGGGATATAAATCGTTTTAGTAAGAGACAGAAAAGCATCTTTAGAAGTTTCATACTTTCTTTGAAATGTGTTATATATAAAACGTTAAAGTACTGTAACATAAAAAAAAAAAAATCTGAAAAGGAGTTCAACAAAAAGTTTCGTAACTTTTGTTAAGGATCAAAAAGTTAAAAATTAAAATTATTCCATATACAGATGCTCCTCTACTTACGGACTTTCAACTTACGAACTTTCAGACATACGAATGAAGAGAACTATAAGTCCAAATTGTGTTCCTTAGGCTCCCGTTTCCTGTCCGCAACATTTATTTATTTTTTTTCTGTGCGCCAGTTCCGCCTACTACGACTTCTGCCCGCTACTCCCACCGTGCAACAGCCTAACGTGCGTACTCCCAGCATCCTAGTTCTTTGTACTTGTGTAAACCCTTAAAATGATATTGAATAACGACTTACGGACATTTCGAGTTACAAACGGTCCATTTTATTTTGTGGAAAATGAAGGACTGATCTGTGGGCCAGATTTAATAATGAATTATAAACATTTTACAGGCTGGTACTTTGAGCCGATAAAATCCCTCACCCTCCACTAAGGAAAATGGTCCATTGCAATCATCTCCAGTATTTCAGTAACTGTGTCATTAGATCTGGTGCTGCAGACTCTGAATAAAGTTTAAATAATCGGCCAACACTGACAGATCGCACTAATATGTTGTGCATCGCTAAGATAATATTTTTTACTTAGCGTGCTAGTTAATGACCTCAGGATCTTGACCACTGCTACCATAGCTTGCAAAAAGAACAACATTTTGCATTACGAAACCAAGGCATTTCATAAAATCATCGCAGATTATCTTAACCACTGGAGTGAGTTCTCTGTGCTACAGAACAGGGGCGAGATCCCCAAAAGCATCATAGGTAAAATAATCAGGTAGCCTTTCCTTCATGAATATTAAGCCTTTGTCTGGAATCCTATGTTTCTGAAATTCATCTGCAGGAGCAGCTATTTTGTCTGTCTACTTATGCTTAATTTTACATTTAAAGGCATTATCAGCTGTAATAAATGAATGAGGCCTCCCATTTCTTCTTCTAAAATCTCTTTGAACTGCATGTTATAATTTTCACACTGAGAAAGGCCATTGTCCAATGCTAAACATATGCCAGGCAACCATGCATCTGAAAGAACTGCACGTAGGTTTATTACCTGGAAAACAGTCACTTTTATAAGACAAGCCTGGTCCAACTTGCAAGAATGTTACAGATGTGTTACCTTAGAAACCAGCTCTGAATGCATCTTTATGGTGACATGAAATAATACCCCAATTATACCATTTAAACCACAGTGATGATAACATGCAAATACACCCTTTCAGAAGCGGTGCAGAGCATAACTAAAAAGCTTAACATTTTTTAGGGTATTTGTAAATTTTTTATAAATCTACACAAATATTTTTAGAAAAGCAGTAAATATAAACACAATACTTCATGATATTCGACTTTTATATTAATTTGTAAGGCCACAAAAACAGTACTTTCTACATCCATCATATAGGGAAATATGTATTCAATATTAACACTTAAGACTCATATAGCAAGTTGTCCTCACCTGCATTTGAAGTCACATGACCCAGCTGCCAGGAGGACATTGTTTGGATGCCAGTCCAAACTTAGGACAGTTGAACGAATTGGCTTCTTGATGTGTTTGCTGACCCACCTAATAAAATGTAGTGACACACACAAACACGGCTTCATGGCACGAATACTTTAGGAAAATAAGCTTTGACAATGGTTTGCATTTAATTAAAGAGGCTTACCAGTCATTTTCAGACTCAAAATAACATACAGAGATTAACCGAGCCCCGCTGCCAACAGCAAACTTGTTCTCCAGGGGAGACCACTTCACAAAGGTGGCAGCACGGTTGATCCGTAAAATCACCAAAGTAGGTTTCCATACACCATCCTTCTGGCTCCAGACATAGGCATTACGGTCTGCGCCGCAGGTCACAATGCGGTCACTCTTAGGTGCCCAGTCAATGCCTGCACAAAATTCAGCACAACTTACTCAAAAAGCACCAGAAATGCCCCCCTTAAAATTCTTTAAGCTAACCTAAGTCTAACTAAAACTAACTCTGATTTAAAATAAAACAGATAAGAACAGTGTGTAATACAGTTAAGAATTGTTAAAACACAGAACCCATTGCTTTCAATGATGCTACTGGAAACACACACATACCTGTGATGTGGCCATTGTGTTCCTTCAATTCGTGGGTCTTCATCCACTGATTTCCACTCTTTTTGTAGATATGGACTTCATGATTATTTGGGCTGATTGCAATTTCTGTCACAGGGAATTTTAAAAACCAGTGGGAGGTTACCAACTAAAGTCAGGTGGGGCACCAAAAGGGAGGAGTCACGTGGGGCTACTTACGACTTCTGTCCCGATTCCACGCGTGACAAGTGATGGGCTCCAGGAGAAACTGGTGCAGAGACATTTCACCAGGACTGGTGGGGACAGTAGGAGAAACAAAACAGCCTTTACACTTAAGCGCAGGCTTTTTTTTTTTTCATCTCTGCACCACAGCAAACGCAGATCACTGGTTCATTTTAACCGCTGTATATTTAATATCGGCTGGGTTTATTCTTCAGAATAAATACTGAAACGTTAAAAAAAAGCCAGCTCAACTTTTCTAATTCACCGAATGATTACGATGTACTTTATAAGGTCGGCTATTCAGCGCGTCAGAAATAAAGTTAAAATTGAATATTACTGTTCAATTCTGTGAATAAAGTTACAGGTTCCCGGCTGGCAGTTAAGCCAAACCTCACCGACAGTAGGATTAAGGAAAGTTAGCTATGTAGCTACACGATCAGCTAACTTTACCATTTGAGCAGAGTTACCCGGGTCAGAGACGCGCAGGCAAGTTAGCAAACTAGGTTAAGCACAATAGCCCAGAGCAGCGGGAAAGCCTCCAGGAGCAACGCCAGGGCTAAACTATAAATAACAGCGCAGGATCCATATAAAACACATGTCATTCCCAGGCCGACGCACTCCCATCATTTTCTAAACCGCGCCATTTCCCCGCGAGGAGAAGCCCGCTCCCTGCTGACGGTAAACCGCACGACAAAGGTGGAGTAAGCCGGTCTCCGGTAGGCCCTCATCGCTCCCCATATTTACCTGTGCTCAGCTGTAGTCTTCGTGTGGTGTGGGCGGGTTTCCCTTATCGAATCGAGCACGTTTCGGTTGATTAAATCGGAACTGAATTCGCGGACTCTGGGCAGTCGACACGAATTCACCCCGTACAAGGACTGTCAGAAGATCCAGGAAATGGTAAGGAGCATTGGTGCCGCGGCGGGGAACGCGCCTCGGTCCGCGCAAGCGCACAGCGCCGCTTCGCCCTCCCCGAGCCGGCGTCAGATGGCCGCGCGCCTCGGTCCGCGCAGGCGCACGAGGCGCTTACCCCTGCGCGAATCGGTGGTCGGCGTTAACAGTGCGGGCAGCACTGCGCGTGCAATGTTCGGAGGAGAGCCCCTTCCAGAAATACGGGGTGTGATTTGTGCGTGTTTTATGTGCACAACTAGCGATGACAACAACGTTTAACAGGAGCTTTTGCATTTTTATGCAGAGAGCAGGGTTGAATCGCATCGCTCCGATATTGAAATTATATGTACCTCCCGGTATCTAGCAGGGCATACAGTAATTTTAATTGCTCCAGAATAGTTTCATCATTTATATATTTGACTAGAAATATGTCCAAGAATGCTTCATGTTACACTTATTGTTACACATCAGAAATGTCACTTTTAAAAAATGAAAACTAAGGATATGTCGGATGGATGGATGGATGGATATGTCTTACTATCGCTTGTTATTTCTTTCAAAAACCGCACTGAAGTCATTAATTGAAATGCAACGATTTTTTGAACGGTTGGGTCAAAAATTCTGACCAATTTCACACTTAAGCTTCTCAAAGGAGCTTACAACCCCCCACTACACTAGGCACCAAATTAAGTTTTTCAATACATTTGCCGCGAAATCGCACAATCAAGGGCGAAACCCATCGTGGACATGAAAGTGAGGTCCCCATTCATCAGGTCAGGGGGTATTCCCTGGGTGGTAGGAACCGGGGGAACGTGTACCACCCAATATTTACTTTGTGCTTATTCATCCCCTCCAGTTAACAAACCTTTGCATCTAAATTATTAAGTTGTGTCCCAACCAATATCAAACTCTATCCTAGACTGATGAGTGCCCCCAATAGTCATATACCTAAAAAAGCATCAAAGAGTTTCGGAGCACAACATTCTGACTTTTGAAATCTAACCTTTTCAATTTTACCTGCATGTAATTAGTAGCAGCATTTTCTTTCAGAGATGGCAGTCAGCAAACTTAATTACTACATTAAGTTTATGTCACTGGGCAGGAATGCAGCCTAATGACTATGAATCAAAAAACTTTCGCTTAGACACACACACGCAGATTATATATATATATATATATATATATATATATATATATATATATATATATATATATATATGAATCTGGTACATGGTTTAAATTCGAAAGAGAGAGAATAAACAGCTGGACACACACTAGCTTCACATAAATTGTCTTCACAGGAGAGTGTCTTTTCCCCCAGGAGCAGTTTCAGCACCTCAGCATCTTCCAGCTAATTTATCATCTTCCTGTGCTTCGACAAACTTGCGTTTGTTTGCTTTTCCTAAAACCATTGAGAAACCGGGACACTGCTGATCAGTATGACACAGTTATCATTATTTCTAAACCTGTATATACCTGCCTTGTTTAATTATGAAAATCACTAGAAAATGCCTTGGCCTGGCCATACAGTTCTTTTCTTTCTTCTATATATTGCATTCTCTATATGATGGTAGGTGTGGAAGATGTCACATGGTGCTTGCTTTAGCTATTTGACTCTAATATGGCCTTAGTTTGCCCTGCAACTTCTCCACAGGCATGCGCCGGATGTAATTGTGCCCCTTCTCTTTTTGGAAGGCCAGCACAGTAAGGCGCAGGGCCTTCGCGATCTCGACATGAATCTTTTGTTCTGTGCCCAGCTCGCTTCCCAGTTCCTCAGCCTACACATAACAGAAGATCCATTCATTCTTCTTGTGACTGCATGTATTTGTGGCTGTGTTTGCTCAGTGTGCTTCCGCTGATTGGTGTTCCGCTGCTCACTGCGGCCTGCGGTTTCTGGACTGCGCATCTGTCGGCCTTGAGATCCGGCTGCCTCAAACGCTTTTCTTCTTTCTCCAGGTGTAAACAGCAACTCTGTTCTTGTCATAATTCCTCTCCTATTCAAAACACATTGATTATATTTAGATTATTATGAAGATCAGGGCTTTTCGACATGGGGTCCAGAGAACATTCACAAAGACTTTTTGTAAATCAGCAAAAGGTTGATTTTATCTTTATAATATTTAAGGGACAATCTACATTGACTCCTTAGTTCTTATTTGCTTGTATTATCACGCATTTGTGGTCCCAAGTTCTGCGCTGCTTTCATTTTGAGGTCCCTGGTTTAAGATAGCTCATGATAAAGAGCACTGATAATGTAGAAGTAAATGCATGTAAATAAATGCTGATGTCTGGGATGGCTTCCTGGCTCCCCTTCTCATTAATGATGCATGTTGCGTCCTCAATTTTATTATTCAGGGTGATCAGATAGACTGTAAAGGATTTGTGACACAGTGCTACACTAACACTGAATTTACATGTTAAACTTTAGAGCGTTTTTAGAGTTTTGTGATTTTTTTTTAGTTTTAACATGTGCCTACTTTTTTTCACTACTACTTCCAGACCAATTTTAGCATTTTCCTTCTTTTTGAGGTTATTAATTGTAATTTTTAAGTCATGCTAGCCATGCAACTTACTTTTTCCACCTCTTGTTCCCATCCGTCCTCCAACTAAAAAAAAATCACAGTTGGCTGAGCCTGGCCCTGGAATGAAAGGTTTTATGACTTTAACGCAACGGTTTCCAAAATTACCTCATGAGTCTGAATGCATGCTATTATCCTTGGTGAGGTGGCTCACTGTGTCCTGTTCAGCTTGAAGGTCATGTAGAGTTTTCTACAAAAAAAAATCAGTGAATATGCATTGACATGACCATTCATGGGAGATTTAATGGCTACGATGTTGGACAAGAAGAGTTTCTGTTGATGTTCTGATACATTACATTCCAAGGTGAAGCTCCTGTGAAAGTCTTTTTCTCCTTCTGTCCCAGATGTGGGGCATTTAAGATTCATACACTTTTGGATCTTTTCACAGTGCCCCTGCCAGAGTGTATCATGCATGGCTAAAACATATCTACTCAAACTTCAGAGCTATAACTATGGGAAAATGACATTTACACAAGGTGAGTCCCAATTTCATGTATTTCAATATCTACACTTCTGGTCACAGTTCTCTGATCAGTTTTATAAGATTAGACTTCTTTACCTTCAGTGATGATCTTCTCAAAGACAAGATACATTCTAATTGTCCACTGCTCTTGAGGCGAATGATTGTTTTGTTATGATTTGTTTTAATTATGTGTTCTTTTGCTTTGTTCAGACTTGCTAGTTTGACAACTAAGGATAGTGTAAGAAGGTATGTTTGCCTGTTTTTCCTTCTCTGTCATGGCAGGATGGATTTCAGTCCCTTTAAAGGTCACAGAGTTTTATTTCCCGCATTGCATTTCTGCAAGCCCAGGCTGATACTTTCCACTTCCTTTATATGTTTTTTCTGCAGTTGCAAATTCCCTCCAGCACACCATTACCGACTATTTGGTGCAAAATGATAAATATGTCACGCAACATAGAATGGACTTTAATATGGACTCAATCAAATTGCTTTCCGTTTTGTTGATGATTTGACACCAGTTCATCAGTTTTAGTGCATCTCTGAAAACTTCATACCCTATAGAAATCAAAGTTGCATCCTTTTCTTCATTTTTGGCTTGTACAGCAGCATATACTGTATATAGTTGCCTTGTGTGTGCTTTGAGATGGGCTGGTATCCCATACAGGGTATATCCCATCCTTGTGGCCTTTGCTACCTGTCTTGAGTTCCAGGTTCAAGTTGATCATTGATCAAGATGAGTATTTAGATGGATGGAGATTTTAAATAGTACATATCAATCAATTCTTTGTCGAATTGCCTAATCTGGAGCCTGTATTACGAAGCGGGTTTACTGGCTCATCAGGGTAACTTGTCAGATTTAAGGTAGTCTGGGCAAAATGCAAGTGAACGAATATGAAGTCCATTTAAACTGTGGTACCTTAAATCCAACAAGTTACCCCGATAAACCAGTAACCCTGCTTCGTAGTACAGGCCACTGGTCATTGTTGCGGGATGTACCATATACAGCTCTGGAAAATATTAAGAGACCACAGCAAAATTTTTAGTTCCTTTCATTTCTCAATTTATGGGTATATGCCTGAGTAAAATATAAATTTTTTGCTAACTGCAGTCTGGCTCTTCTCATTGAGGAAGGGCTTCTTCCTTGGTTTATTGGTCTTCAGTCCTGCTTCTTGGAGATTGTTATGAACTGTCCCAGCAGTGCACGTCACACCACTTAATGTTTCCCATTCCTTTTGAAGGTCACTTGAGGTCATCCTCCGATTCATGAGGTACTGCCGGATAAGTTGACAGTCATCTCTGCCAGAAAGTTGCTTCTGCCCTTTACTTGGCTGGTTTCTGGTCTTTCCCAGTGTCTCCTGCGTCACCTTATTCTTGTGTACTGCTGCCGTAGAAATTTTGAACCTGGAAGCAACCTGCTGCTCAGCGTAGCCGTCTGCTAGAAGAACCACGATTAAACCAGGATTTAAAACTAATATTTTAAAAATATAGTGGTCTCTTAATTTTTACTAGAGCTGTATACTAGGTGCAAACATTGTTACTGTGCTGTACAGACTGACGTACTGGCTACGTTTCTTCTTATTAGTACTTGCATTGCATGAGTAAAGCACCATCCATTTAAAAAAAACAAAAAAAAAACATATTTATTTCCAGCAGGGGGTAGACTTGAGTCGATAGCGGTAGTAATTTGTTTTTATTTATTGCACTGAAATCACCATATGGTACACTGTCTTTGTCATAGGCTAGTCTGTGTAGTGTTTCTTACAGTATTTTGAAAATTGATTTAATTTGGCATTTTATTCAATGCCTTTGTCTGATGCGCTGTAGTGTTTTAAGGTGTTTTTATTATTTTTTCAATTTATTAAAATTAACATGAATAGACTTCCCTGTAAAGTTATCCAGGCTCTGTAAATGTACCCCAGAACTAACACATTATGGTGTTACTATATTGTGCCCTTGATAATATTCTAGCACTAGTATTTTCTCAATACTTTATAACATCCTTTTGTATATGCACATACAAATCCAAAAACATCAAA